CCCTAAAAATAAAGATGTGCCCTTCCTTTGGCAGCGATGATTTGAACACCAGCTCAGCGAGATGTGGCTTTCTGTTCAGCCCGCATATTGCCGAGCGGGCATTAAATCCACCGTGAATTCCCTGCTGAATGGAGAAAAGTCCTTAACAAATGGCTAAATTAGCCCTCAAATGCCCTTAAAATTCCATAAATAAAAAGCAAGTGGAAGAGTGGGAACCCTGTGGAGGATGATGAAACATGATTGACAGGGCTATTATTTGCTTCTTGAGGTGCAGGGGAAACGTTTCACTCTACTGAATATCCGCTATCCTGATTAACCTCATGTCTAGAGCCAAATGAGAGGTGTTGACTACAAAAACGGGGTCGTGTACAGCGTGGAGGTTTCATTGCCTCGATACTTTACTGTACCCAGCACTGTGACGATGCCTCTAAAGAAAGACACCAACATATGGAAGAATCCTGCAGGTACGCACATTGCGCATACGGTGGATTGAACTGATCCTATCTGTGAGTTAACACCACTATGTAGTTGTTATTTTACACAGACATTTGATTTAATACTTCCCTTGTCATAGTCGGGTTGAAAGATACATGAAATGTTTGTTTGAATAGATCACGATTGTGTGGAAATCCCCTTGCGGTTCACGGCGGACTCCGTGGGACAGTTCTCGTGTCAAATCATTCTGAGGTCCTGCTTTGATACCAGAGTCTACTTGATGGAGGCGCTGGTCACCTCACTGGTACGTACTAACGTAGTCGGAGGCTGATGCAAATGTGTGAAAAGCATTGACATTTTAATGTTTATCTACTACAGTATGACCAAGACCCCCACCCCCCAAAGAGCGAAAATCACGCTTGTCACCCTTGCAAAAAATCTTTCTAATTACCAATACTAATAGTTTAAGCCACAGGTGTCAAAGTCAAGGCCCAGGGGCCAAATCTGGCCCGCCACGTAATTTTATGTGGCCGGCCAAAGCTAATCATCTGTGTCAACTTGATCCTTGCTTAAATCTGTACCGAAATCTCAAATTGCCATACCTAAAAAATAACGGTGACATTTTGCAATCATTTTGTGAGTTGGTTCATACTATAATAATTGAACAAATAGCAAACAAATAGTGGACTAATAATACAAAACTAGTAATCTGTCTTTTTTTTATTTTTTTTTTATTATTTGTGCAAGTAATAATACGATGTGATGATTAAACATTTATTCGGTTTCACTGTCGTAACGGCCCTCCGAGGGAAGACGTTACTCCAGAGTGGCCCGTGACAAAAATTAGTTTGACACCCTTGGTTTAAACCATAAATATACCCCCCAAAACAGTGTCATTCCAAACTCATATTACTCTTTAAAAGGAACGGCTTACGGAGTATGTGATTGCAGACAAATGCGCCAGAATTGCATGTGTACATGCCCATGTGGCAAAGACCCAGGCTCAATTTATCTCCTCCACGAGACATACAAAGCTTTTCATTCAGTCAAGATCTATCACTCCATCATAGTTCCTTAAAACCAAATCCTTTTAAAGAAGTCCTTGGGGGCATCTTGTGGCACCTTAGGGCAATTCAGACCAAACAAAAAGCACACGCAAAACGCAAGGAGGTGAGCGTTTCAGCAAATAGCTGGGGAAAGCTTCCAAAGATAGTTGAGCGATGACTGTACTTTAATTTTGGTACTAGTTAACTGAAAGAAAAAAAAAACATGTTTTTTTATTTTATTTTTTTGTAATATTGGTTACTTTAGGGAGGATCTGTTCATTTGGACTTTAGTTCACCCGCTCAGCATTCTGTCACACAAGATATACCTCTGGTGAGTTGTTTATCCAGCACTCATTTATTAAACCTTCTTTATAATCGCAATGTATACTTCCAAGAAGTGAAAAAGTATGTGGATCATCGGTTCTCATTTCTTGCAGCAAAATGAGACCCATCAAGACTGGACCTTAAAGGCTGACTTGTGTGGCGACGGCTTCTATGGCCCGACCGTTTTGAATGTACCAGCCGGGACGAGAGCTTGTTACCCTCTCACTTTCCATCCCACTTCACAATGCGTTGTCATGGTTTGTCTTCTTACTTTTACCTCCCTCTTTGTGTACTTCATTTCTAAATATGTAAGCTTTTCACCATTTTGCACACTTCAGTATGAAAAGTTGTCTGAATGTATTTGTGCCCTCTGATTGAGTGGCAACCAGGCTTAAGGCAGCGATTCCCAGAAATGCTCCATGAAATGATCCAGTTCCGCCTAGTGGGTATGAAAATGATGATATTTTTTACGATAAAGCATCTTTGTTTGTCTCTCTATGCTGGCGACATATAGTGACTGGCAGAAAAATAAAACTTGTTCCAATACATGGCGGAGGTGACAAATCCAGGTCCAGAAAGTAAACGAGCTCATTTACCTGCTGGTTGCATGCGTCGAAGCACCCGTGGCTGAAGCCAAACTGTGGCAGGATTTTTACTTTGAACTTGACTCAGAACGCGACGTAGCAAATCACTTTCCATTTTAAAGGTGCATTTTCTTTGAATTGCCGATATGGATCGCAGGACTTGTCCTAATCGTTACTCCGACAGGGGAAGCTGTCTTTGCATAACAGCTACAATGGGGTGGAGCATGTCTTTACCATCCGAGGGGTGGGTGAGCGCCCCCTGCCTGTGGAGCATGTCGTACTACGCTGTCCCGTGGGCGAGACCACTAGCAGACAGCTGAATGTCCCGAACTACACTCAGAAGACGCTCTCTCTTCAGGTTGGTTTGAATTCCATTCGTTCAATGCATTGCCAATAAGATGCTGCAGATTTTGAAAGGGCGCTTCATTCATTTCTGAACGTGTGTGTGTGTGTG